TTTTTTTTTTTTTTTGGTAGAGACAAGTATTTTTCCTTTTGAGACAGAGTCTCACTTTGTCACCCCCAGCAGAGTGCCGTGGCGTTATACCTCACAGCAACCCCAAACTCTTGGGCTTAGTGATCCCTTTGTCTCAGCCTCCCAAGTAGCTGGGACTTCAGGTACCCTCCACAATGCCCACTCATTTTAGAGAGGAGGTCTCACTATGCCTCAGGCTGGTCTCCAACCCATAAGCTCAGGCAATCCACCTGCCTCAGCCTCCCAGAGTGTTAGGATTACAGGCCTGAACCACCACAGTTGTAATTTTTTAATACAGATCTCCTCAGGCTTCTTCCCTGAACTAGTGAAAAAAATCTCTGGGAGTGGGGGGTCAAGATCTAAATGAGCTTTCTAGGTTCTCTTGTACATGTTAAAGCTGTAGAGCTTCCTTATTTCTCAATGGATTATAGAGATGTTTTCAGTAAACACACTGTATGATTCACCCATTAAAGATATGTGTCATCTGAGAACAGGGAGTTTTTTTTTTTTTTTTTTTAGTAGTAACTGAGAAATTTTCTTTTTTTAGAATGAGCTGAGAACCAATATAAGAAAATCTAAGTAGATCTCTATTTTAAAAAGAAAACTCTTAAGCTTCTAAAACCTAACCACTCTGGCTCTGAGCCTGGTCCTTCTTTTAGGTTACCAATTTTAATTTGGTGCTTTCTAATTTTTCTCATTTTAGGTGACTTCAGGGAGGAAACATATTGTACTATGTTTCAAAACTCATCTTTACTGCTCACTTTGGCAGCATACATATCAAAGCCTACCTTTAAAAAGTGAGGCTATGAGAAATATTGTCATCATTTTTCTAGACCGTTAGAGCTGAGGGTTCAAGATAGTCCCTTTGGTGCCACTGGTTTAAAATACAGGAGAACCTCTGTAAGTTATAAGTTAATGACAACAGACATGAACAAACTGTTCAACATACAGAGATGCCCAACATAAGGAACTAGGCCTATGATACTGGTATGTACATGTGGTGCATGTCCAGTCTATGAAAATTATGTCAACTTAAGGAGGTGGTCAATGTAGGGAGGTGGTCAGCTATGAAAGATCTACTATACTAGTTACTCTTATCTGGAGGACATAAGAATTGAGGGGCTGGGCTCGGCGCCTGTAGCACAGTGCTTACTGCGCCAGCCACATACACAGAAGTTGGCAGGTTTGAACCCGGCCCAGGGCCAGCTAACCAACAATGACAAATGTAACAACAACAACAACAACAAAAATAGCCAGGCATTGTGGCGGGTCCCTGTAGTCCCAGCTACTTGGGAGGCTGAGGCAAGAGAATTGCTTAGCCCAAGAGTTTGAGGTTGCTATGAGCTGTGACACCACAGCACTCTACTGAGGGTGACATAGTGAGACTCTGTCTCAAAAAAAAGAAAAAAATAGAATTAGGGGCTGGTAAAATACATGGCGGGTAGTATTTGAAGGAGATGAATGTTCTCCCTCTATCTTGACAAGCACTGATGTATAACAGCTACCATGAACACAAATATCATTTCAGGAAAAAAAATAAAACATGACACCAGTTTTCCATGTAATATATGAAATATTAAGTGTTTACAACTAAACATCATATTCTTTTTTTTTTTTTTTTTGAGACAGCACCTCAAGCTGTCGCCCTGGGTAGAGTGCCGTGGCATCACAGCTCACAACAACCTCCAACTCCTGGGCTTAAGCTATTCTCTTGCCTTAGCCTCCCTAGTAGCTGGGACTACAGGTGCCCACCACAACACCTGGATATTTTTTGATTGTAGTTGTCATTGTTTGACAGGCTGGGCCAGATTTGAACCCACCATCTCTGGTGTATGTGCTGGTG